CCCCACTGCCACCGCTGCCGGTTGCCTCCCTCTGCGGGGAGACCGAGGGCCCCCACTGCACCCTCCTTGGCTGGCCTGGGGCCTGCAGGCTGGGGGCAGCTCCTGCGTTGAGCATCTGCCTCCTGGTCAGTGCGCATCATAGCAGCCGGTCGTTATGCCATTTGATTTGCATATTAGGCTTTGATTATATAGGATACTAGAGGCCCGGTGCACAAATTCATGCACTGGTGAGGTCCCTGGGGGTGGCCTGTGGAGATTGGGCTCCAGCTTGCGCCCCCAGCCTTGCAGCCCCAGCTCGCGCCCCCAACCCCACAGCCTTGCCTGGCACCCCGCCTTGGCCTGCCAACGCCACCTCACATGCTCCACCATCTCGCCTGTGGGGAGATCGATTGGTACCAGGCCCCCTTCCCAGCTCCCAAAGTGCCTGGGATGCGGCAGCGGCCCCACCCCCCACAGCCACTGCTTGTTTCCCTCTACGCAGCGATCGGCGGGGTGATCAGGTCCCTGCTCGCACCCACCTTGGCTGTTGCTGCCCGCTTACCTACTCCACCATCCCACTGTGGTCCCGCTTTCATCCGGGCCCATCGGGGCCAGCAGTGCCTCCATTGCCACCCTCTGCTAGCACCACATCGCAGATGCCCACCATGTTCCCTGATGGCAGCATACATCATAGCAAGCAGTAGAGCTCCTGGTCTCCCGGTTGAACTCCCTGTCAAACGACCCCCTGGGGGGACAATTTGCATATTAGGCTTTTATTATATAGGATTAGGTTTTTAATCTATTATTATAAATCTAAAAACACTCTTTAATTCATAATTAAGAGTTTTCTTTGACACTGGTGCTGAAATTTAGAAAATTTTTAATGCATCTATTTGAGATACTGAACTGGTTTCTTTTTAATTTGTAATCTTAATATTGGCTTTTAGAAAAATCATTGCAAACACCATGTATTCCTATATATTTTTTTGTATACAGTGTCGTTTATCAAAAATGAATATGGATGTTGAGATCTATGTTCATAGATAAATTGATACATACTTTCTTTTTTATATTTGTCAATTTTTGGTATTCAGTTTAAACTAGCCTTGTAAAATCATTAAGGAGACTCTTCCCTTTTTTCAGTCTTTAGAGAAGTGTAGATAGATAGAAATCACCTTGTCATTGAAGATTTGACATAACAGCACAGCTCTAAAACAATGTGGGCCTGATTCCTTTATTGAGTACATATCTCGGGCAACGTTTTCAGTTCTTGTGTAGTTTTGCTGGGTCTCTTCAGTTTTTCTATCTCTGAAAGCAATCCTGGTAATTTATATTTTTCTAGATGATCATCTGTTTAATCAAGATGTTATAGTTTATTGGCATAAAGTTATATGTATTATCCTTTTATAATTTTTAAAACTTTTACCTGTATTTTTGTTATTATCACCTTTATTTCTGGTGTTGAGTTTTCTTCCATTTTTTGGTCTTCCATTTAGCTTTTTGGAAAGAAAAATAATTAACTATATCCAATTACCACATTATTTTATTTCTCTAGTTTACTTTGGTTTATTTTCTTTCTTTCCCTAGTTTCTTGAAGTAATTTTATTTTACTTAAGTTGGAAATTTTCTTTGACTACCAATCTGTCTGTGTCCTATAGATGTTGATATCTCATATTCTCAATATTAATATACATTTATTCCTTGGGCCTAAGAATTATTTAAAGCAGTATTTTAAATTTCTAAGTGTTTAGTTTGGGAGTTACCTTTATTTATAATTCTGTTTGTTAGTGTTGTGGTGAAAGAACATATCCTACATGATGCTGATCCTCTGGAATGTGAAGTGGGTTTTCTTCATCCCTGTTACACTGTCAATTTTTAAATAATAGTCCATAAACATTTAAAATACATACATTTACTTATATATAGACACACATTCTCTTTGTATTCAACTAACATTATTTTAGAGATAATAGCACTTAGAGAATTATGTGACTGGTTCTCTGTCACAATTAGTAAATGATATACTAGCTTTCCGAATCTTTGTCTAGCCGATTTTCCCTCTGATCCTACTGCCTCCAGAGTATATAATATATTTGTATGTTTGGTGTCTTCTAATATATATGTATAGTTATATCAAAATAAAGTCTGTAAGAAGTTAAAAATTTAGAATGATTTTATGATTTAGAAAAGTAAAAAATGTTTAGGTAGAAATCATTTGAATCTTTAGAATTAAAGATTGTAAGAGAGACTTAAACTAGTCTTACTGAATAAGTCATCTGTAGATAGATGGGGTATGAACCAGAAAAGACATCTTGTATGTGGAGAACTTAAGAACAATAGCACATATGCATCTTGGAACAAGCCTGACCTAGGTGGATGGAGGAGGTCTTTGTTGAAGAGGAATCTATATATATAAAAGCCTAAACGACTGAACAACCGAATGACTGGTCGACTGGTCGCTGTGATGCACATTGACCACCAGGGGGCAGACTGTCAACATGGGAGCTGCCCCTGGGGTCAGTGCGCTCCCACAGCCAACCTCCCATGGCCCCTCCCCCTGACCAGCCAGCCAACCTCCCATGACCCCTCCCTCTGGCCAGCCAGCCAACTTTCTGTGGCCCTTCCCCCTCGCCGGCAGGTTCCAATGGCCCCAACATCCCGCAGCCCCTCCCCCCAGCCAACCTCCCACAGGCCCGATTGCCAGCCAGGCTGAGGGACTCCACCCATGCACGAATTCGTGCACTGGGCCTCTACTGAGAAATAAGACCATAGGTAACATTGGGCCTGGTTAGTAGGACTGGTGAAAAAAAGTTGAAAAATTAAATGCAAAGCAGTTCTATCACCTGTTGACCAATGTCACATTTCATTTTGTAAATGTGTGGTGGTTTCATTGCAGTATCAGTGATAATTAAATTAACTGAAAGGACAAACAGTTCTAAGTGTAAAGGACTCTGAGGAATTAATATGAGGTTGATTTAATAACTCAACAGTGTTAACTGTATTAGTGATAGATTGATTAGAGCTCTGCTAAATATATCAGCATGCTAAATCTGTTGACAGTTTGAAGGAACAAATAGGATTGCAGAATATTTTAAAAGTTAGAAAACTAAATTTTAAAAATGAGGACTGTATGCTAGTAAAAAGAGTTTTTGAAAAATTACTTCGAGAAATTAAAACGTACCTCTACTGGGTTAAACACCTATGGATTGTAAATTTGTCATTTACTTGTAAAAATTAGGAGAGACTTAAATAGAGCAAAAATCAAAAAATAAACATAATCTTAGAGTAAAAGAAGAATATATATATATATATATATATATATATATTCCAGTGTTTTAATAAAAACCCATGTACTATTTATAAAATAATCACAGCCTCTATTCTGAAAGTAGATAGAAAAATGGATAACTATTTAGTGTTATAATTTCTATCTCTAAACTATAGTAATTATCTTAACAAACTCAATACAAATTTATTTTATTTTGGCCATACTAATTTAGGCCAAAAGCACAATATCTAAAATATTTGAATATTTAAAAACACACCTATAATAGCCTAAACAGTCATTGCCTAAGGGGCGTAACAAGTAAAAGCAGTTATTGTTTTTGTTTTATATATTTTATCAAATTCAGTATAATTTGATTATTAAATGAACATGTGCCTTTTTTTCAAATAGGGAAAATGGGGAGATTTTAAATAGTTCTAAGCAAAGTTCATGTGTGCTAATTAGGTATGCCAAGAAGTGAATCTTGATAATCCTACATGTTAAGATATAGTCAATTTCCATGGCTATTTTAACCACAGCTCTCAGAATTTAGAATGACATATATATTCTAAAAATAACCTAATAGAATATATTATTTTAGCTAAAAAGTAATTCTTACTCTATTTATAATGCTGAGCTATATAGAAAGAACTTACTAGCCTTCCCCTTAATGAAGTATAACAGTATATAACTAGAACATTTAATGTCTGTTAGTTATATTTTCTCCCTTCTGTAAAATATAGTCGTATAGGTGGTAAAATCTGTATGTCCAAGAATTACTTAAAAGCATACATTTGACAAAGAAAAACCCTTCTATAGAAAAGATAATTTGAAATATATGTTGCATATTTTATGGTTAATAGAGCTACAATTAGGAATAAGTCTAACAAAAATGAGTATTCTAAAAATTATCTTTAATCGTAAAGGTTTCTTGTATACAGCATTATTTGATGTGTAACTCTACATATATTTCTGTATGAGCAGATCTTTTTCAAACCATTTGCTCACGTGTAGAAATATATTAGTATTTATTTTCCATCATAATTAGTTATAAATTATGAGGTGTTTTATCTATAAAGAAAAGCTCCAGCATAATAGTAGTAATATTCATTAATAAATAATTATATTAATAAAATGCAAAAAGTTTGAAGCAACAAAGACTTCATTCTATGGTAACTACAATCTCTGGGCTTGCTTTTTCATCCCTTATCTGTGGGCTACCCAACCAAAAGTTAATTGTAATAATATTATTAGGATTCAAGAGCCAGCCATTTTCTCTCAGATATGGGTATTCTACAGGAGCTGTATTTCAGCTATAGAATTTGGGATATTAGAGGCTACATCAAACTGATTCTAGAAAACATAGGATAGGAGATGCTTAGTATCTCAATCTTAGGCTATCTCCCATCCAATTATTAACCAGGCCCTGAATAGACTTTGACCAGGCTTTGATAAGTTTTATAAAATTGGCTCACATAGTAACCTTAGATGTATTGTTTATTTTACCATTTTTCTTTGTAGAAACAAAGAACATTTATATATTGAAGGGGTAAGGAAGGGCTTATGTGGGCAGTTTTTTAGAAAGTTCTTTTAATCTATGGAACATGAAACAATAAATATTTTTATACATACTATCTTGTTTGTAGTACTTTAAAAGAAAAAAGGCATATTTGAATGCAACAATAATTAAAGTTATAATATTCAAAGATTTCATTGTTATAGCTAACCAAAACTGACATTTTGTTACATTTCTTAGGCAATTAAGTTGGAATATTCAAGGTTGGTTAGATTGGCCCAAGAAGATACCCCACCAGAAACAGATTATCGTCTACATCACATAGTGGTCTACTTTATCCAGAACCAGGCGCCAAAGAAAATCATTGAGAAAACATTGCTGGAACAATTTGGAGATAGAAACCTGAGTTTTGATGAAAGGTAATTTAAAAATACAAAATACCTTATTCGTAGGCTCAAATTGTTCTTATTTTTGTAGTTCCCAATGCAATTTTTGAATGTTTATTTTACACATACACAAAGACATTTCAATAAATACAGCACGAAATCTGACTTTACTTAATTTGAACAGTTGCTTTGTAATTTTATCTATAGGTTATAATCATGACCTTTAAAAGCTTGAACTGAAAATAACTCATCGTTTCCATACATTGCAGTTGTGAGCTAAGCAATATAATGATACACAGAAGAGTATACTGTAATCACTGCTTTGTGGGAGTCAATATTTTAAAGATAAAAATTTTTCAACCTTTATACTAAGGATATTTGGAGTCAGATAATTGGTTAAATTAATTTTAGTTTATAAAAAAAGTTTTCTCTTAGAAGTTCCTATAAAATTATTTACTAATATTAAAATTTTAAATTTAATCTAGTGAGAACGAATACTGTTTAAAAAAGGTCTCAGTTAAAGATCAAAGTATTGGAAGTTATTTTAGAATACAGAAACATTTATGCTGTCTTGGAGTTCATTGTAATTGCATTTTAATTTTGAAATAAGTGATTATCCTTTTATGAAATTTCAAAATACTTAATGAAAAATATGTTTAGCAGAGGAGAATATGAGGAGAAATGAACATCTAGTATTAATTCCTGCCTCACCATGTGTCTGAAATTTAGGATTAAGAGAAATAGTACAAGTAAATGGTTTTGAACAATACCTAGTAGACACTGAGTGCTCAGTGCGTGTTGGCTATTTCAGTTTTTGATAGTAGAAGTATGGTTATCATTTATTTTGCTACATATGGCTACAAAGAGCTCTGAAGTATGATTATGACCCTTTTAATCTATCTGTTAATGCACATGTTCCAATAAACATATGCTCCTGAATTTGGGGAAGAGATTTATGGAATAATCACATTGACTTTTTATTCTTTTGCAATTTTTTGTCCTGGCAACTGCAGATAGTCAATTTGTTTTAATAATCTAATTTGTGTTGTGCTTAAAAGACAGAGTATGTGCTAGCATGTGATAACTAAATATATTTTGTAGGGATTTCTGATCACGAATTTATTGGAATGTTTCCATTCTTACTTGAAATGATAAGAATGTTTTGTATTCTTTTGTACTATTTGCAAATAATGCTATTGGGGGAAGTAAAATTTAATGTATCTTGAGCTAAATAAATACAAATTATTTTTAAAAGTATATTTTTATCTATGCAATCTTTATTAATAGACTGTAATTTAAAAGCCATAAGTATAACACAGTAAATTTGACTTAGAATCATTGACTTAGAATCATGCAGTCTTTTTTATGTACTTTGTAACCAACATTGGTCTCAAAAAACACATTTTTTTCTTAAGCTTATTTGGGAGTTGTTTCCTCAGTTACAGTGGTTTTCATTTATATATGTGTTGTGTAGTTTCATTTATTTAACACACATTTTTCAGTTTTATGGATTTGGCTTTTGATTTAGGATTATATACTTTTTTTTATTTTAAGGTGTCACAACATAATGAAAGTGGCCCAAGCCAAACTTGAAATGATAAGACCTGAAGAAGTAAACTTGGAGGAATATGAGGTAATGTGCTTTGTGAGAGGTCAAACTATAGACTGAGGAATTCTGTGGTTCACTGATCTTCCTTTCATTTTAGCACAGCTACGCACCTGAGAAAGTGAGGCATATGGAGTGAAGTCATACCCACCAAAGTTTTTTACAGCTAGCAGGTTACAACTTGGTTAACAGAACCTCCATTCTTAAATGCTATGCTTTACTGAAACCATGCTGCATTTTTTCCTTTGTTTCACCACATGTTTTGGTGATGTTAGAAATTCATTTTAATCATTGAATCCCACATTTATTTGTCATTATTGGATGTTGTGCATGTGAGAGAGCACACACAGTACTGTGATTGGGCTTGCAGTAATTTTATGCACAAAGTTCTCTGTCTTAACTTTTGGCTTTAAAATTAATACCTTTTTTTTATTCACCAATTTAAATTTCTAGTATTTATTCAGACTTTAAATTTATACTATATATGTTATATATTTTAATATGTACATCATTAAATGTAATATTTATGATACATTATTCAGTAGTGTCTTTTAAAATTTACAAATCCAGTTAATTTTTAGTTGCTTTCATGAGTGCCTTTGATGAATGTTTGGTCCTATTTACAAACTTAATTATTTTACATTCCCTTAAACAATTATTGTAATTCACCATATTATAACAGATAAAAGGAAAGCTACTGAAACACTCATTTTTGATGAAAACCCTTAGTTAACCTGGAATAAGAGATAAGTACTTTAATCTGCTAAAGAGTGCTTTGAAAAACAAAACAATTACAACAAATATATAGAATTATAGACGTGGAAAGCTTGCTATTTGAGATTAGGAAAAAGGGATATCTGCTGTCACCACTTCTACTCAGAATGGTACTGAAAGTTCAAGCTGGGCAATAAGGCAACAAATATAAGCAAAAAGTAAAAGATATGAAAAGAAGCAATGAATTTATCATTGTTTTCAACTTTAGACCTAGATAATACAAACAAAATCTACAGATAAATTCAGTGGAACTAGTAAGAGCTTTGCAACATGCAAACCTATGTCAAATATCAATTCGTTTATACCAATAACAAATAATCAGAAATTGAAATTTTTAAAAATGGCACTATTTACATAAAATATCATCCAAAATTATGGGATACCTAGAAATAAGTTTAACAAAAGATATGCATGACTTTAGGAGTCATTAAAGAAGACCTAAATCAATGAATAATATGTATCATCTTAGGAAAACTTGGTATTATAAAGATGACAGTATTCTCCTAAATCAGTGGTTCTCAACCTTCCTAATGCCGTGACCCTTTAATACAGTTCCTCATGTTGTGGTGACCCCCAACCATAAAATTATTTTCGTTGCTACTTCATAACTGTAATTTTGCTACTGTTGTGAATCATAATTATCTTTTATGCAGGATGTATTTTCATTGTTACAAATTGAACATAATTAAAGCATAGTGATTAATCACAAAAACAATATGTAATTATATACGTGTTTTCCGATGGTCTTAGGCGACCCCTGTGAAAGGGTCGTTCAACCCCCAAAGGGTTGCGACCCACAGGTTGAGAACCATTGTCCTAAATTGTTTATGGATTCATTGCAGTTTCTATCAAACTTTTAGAAAGTCGTTTTAGGGAGTTTGCTATACCAATTCAAGAATTTTATGGAAATGCAAAGATTTCAGCCTAGTCCTGACATTCTTTTTTTTTTTTCTAATATATTTTTATTGTTGATAGTATTACAGATAGCTCCCATTCCCTGCCCCCTTCTCTACCCTCCTCCCAGCCCCTACCCATCCCTCCAGATCTTCACTACCCTATCGCCCATGTCCATGGGCTATGCATGTAAGTATATTAGTTCTTTGGTTTATCTCTTCTCATCCCCCCAACCTTGAGGTATGCTTCGGATCTTATTTTGTTGGTCAATTCATTTTGTTCGTTAGAGTCCACAAATGAGATCATATGATATATATATTCTTTCTCAATTTGGCTTATTTCACTTAGCATATTTTCCAGGTCCATCCATGCTGTCCCAAAGGGTAAGAGATCCCTCTTTTTTACAGCTGCATAGTATTCCACAGTGTCAATGTCCCACATATTTTTATCCATTCACCTTCTGATGGGCACTTGGGCTGTTTCCAAATCTTAGCTATTGTAAATAACACTGCTATGAACATAGGGGTGCATATATTCTTTCTGATTGGTGTTTTGGGATTTTTAGGTTATATTCTCAGAAGTGAGATAGCTGGGCCAAACGGAAGTTCCATTTTTAATTTTTTGAGGAAACTCCATACAGTTTTCCATAATAACTGGACCAATCTGCATTCCCACCAGCAGTAAATGAGTGTTGCCTTTTCTCCATCCTCACCAGCCCTTGTTGTTTGATTTGCTGATGATAGTCATTCTGACAGGTGTGAGGTGATATTTCATTGTAGTTTTAATTTGCATTTCTCTGACGATTAGTGACTTTGAGCATTTTTTCATATGTCTCTTCGTCATTTGTATGTCCTCTTTGGAGAAATGTTCAAGTTGTCTGCCCATTTTTTAATTGGATTGTTTGTGTTTTGTTGAGTTGTATGAGTACTTTATATATTTTGGATATTAACCCCTTATCAGATGTATCATTGGCAAATATGTTCTCCCATTCAGTGGGTTTCCTTTTCATTTTGATGGTGGTTTCTTTTGCTGTGAAGAAGCTTTTTATTTATTTATTTATTTAATTTTTTATTATTAGTTAAGGTATTACAAATGTGTCCTCATCCCCCCCATTAACCCCCAACCTCCCCCCCACACACAAACTCATGCTCCCATCCCCCTGTTGTCCATGTCCATTGGTTTGGCTTATATACATGTATAGAAGCTTTTTATTTTGATGAAGTCCCATTTGTTTATTTTCTCCTTAGGTTCCTTTGCCTTAGGAAATGTATCCGTAAACATATTGCTATGTTAGATGTCTGAGGTTTTACTGCCTGTGTTCTCTAAGATTTTTATGGTTTCATGCCTTACATTTAAGTCTTTTATCCACCTTGAGTTTATTCTTGTGTATGGTGTAAGTTAGTGGTCCAGTTTTTATCTTTTTGCATGTGTCTGTCCAGTTTTCCCAACACAATTTTTTTGAAGAGACTGTCTTGACTCCATTGTATGCTCTTGCCTCCTTTGTCAAATATTAATTGACCGTAATGGTGTGGATCAATTTCTGGGGTCTGTTCTGATCTGTTGGTCTATATGCCTGTTCTTGTGCCAATACCAGGCTGTTTTGGTTATAATGGCTTTGTAGTATAGTTTGATATTCGGTATTGTGATCCCTCCTACTTTGTTCTTCTTTCTCCAGATTGCTGCAGCTATTTGGGGTCTTTTATGGTTCCGTATAAACTTTTGGAGTATTTGTTCTAGCTCTGTGAAGTATGCTGTTGGTATTTTAATAAAGATTGTGTTGAATCCTGTAGACTTCTTTGGATAGTATAGACATTTTAATTATGTTAATTCTTCCCATTCATGAATATGGTATATCTTCCATTTGTTTATATCTTCCTTTATTTCTTTTTTCAATGTCCTATAGTTTTCCAATCACAGATCTTTTGGTTAAGTTTATTCCTAGGTAATCTTACTTTTTTGTTATTGTTGCAATGGTAAATGGAATTTCTTTTTTAGTTTCTCTTTCTCATAGTTCATTATTGGTGTATAAAAATGACATCGATTTGTGGATATTTATTTTTTATCCTGCTATCTTGCTGCATTCATTTATTAAATCTAGTAGTTTCCTGATGAACATTCTTGAAGAACAACTAAGAAGGCTTATTCTACTAGTAATCAAGACATGCTATCTTAACTATTATGTTTATAATAATACTAGAGACCTAGTGCATAAAATTTGTGCACGGGGCAGGGGGGCCCTTCAGCCCTTCTTGCACCCTCTCCAATCCTGTAGCCCTCGGGGGATGTCCAACTCGCAATCCGGGATCTCTGGCTCCTAACCGCTCACCTGCCTGATCCCCCTAACTGCTCTCCCATGCCGGCCTGATCCCCATAACTGCCCTCCCCTGCCAGCCTGGTCCCCTTAACTGCCCTCCCCTGCTGGCCTCATCTTTCTGACTGCCCTCCCCTGCAGGCCTGATCCCCCTAACTGCTCTCTCCTGCCGGCCTGATTCCCCTAACTGCCCTCCCCTGCCCACCTTGTCACCCCTATTAACTTTTTTTTAATCTTATCCCCTTCGCACACAATTGTATTTGACTTCCTTATTGGCTTCTCCCTCTCACACAATTTTTCTCTCTCCTTTATGTAACACTTTTCCTACTGACTCATCATTTATAAGCTTTTCCTTTCTCTTTATTTCCTACTTCTGTTCCATCATCCTTCTTCCCATCTTTCTCCTACCCTCCCTCCCTCCCCACATTCCTTTTTCCTTAATCTTTACCCCTACTCTCCCTCCCCTTTTCCTTCTTCCCACCTTCAATTTTTTCTTCACTTCCTCCCTCGGACCTGCTTTGCTCTCTCCCCCATTTCTTCCTTCTTCCCATTCTCCTTTTAAGCTCTACTGGCTCCCCTTTAAAACTTTTCTTCCCTCTCTCTTTCTCTCTTTCTTTCTCATCCCACCTTTCCCATACATTCTTCTGTACTTACTTCCACTGTTTTAATATCTATCTACCTGCCTAATTATTCACTGTCATTTATCTTTTTTCTTTTCTGACTCCTACTTTTATTTTATTTTTTTATTTTTTTGAAATATATTTTACTGAGTGGAAGGGAGAGGGACAGAGAGTCAGAAACATCAATGAGAGAGAAACATCAATCAGCTGCCTCGTGCACACTCCCCCCTGGGAATGTGCCCGCAACCAAGGTACATGCCCCTCACCGGAATCAAACCTGGGACTCTTGATTCCGCAGGCCGACGCTCTATCTGCTGAGCCAAATCGGTTAGGGCCTGACTCCTACTTTTAAAATCTGTCCCCAGTAGACAACTATACTTGATTTTCATTATAGCTCCTACAGTTCTCTCATACATTCTCTTTCCTTCTTTAATTCTGCTGTCTACTGACTCCTTTATAAAGTTCTCCCCTCCCTCCTTCTCTTCTTCCCCATCCTCCGTGCCTCCCCCCTCCGAGTCAGGGGAGGGTCCACCAGGCCTGGGCTGGTGTCCATTGCAGGGACCACTGTATTACGTGCACGCGCGTGGCTTTTCTCCCGATGCGTGCTGAAGGCGGGGACGCGGAGGCCTTTCCCATCCCCTGGCATGCCCGCTCCCATGCCTCGAGCAGCTCTCCATCCACTCCCGTCCCAAATTCGCAGGCAATGGGTATGCTTTCACAGGCATGGCTGGGGCTCAGCTTGCCCTGGGGGGGCATTCCTCCCAGGATGTGAGCCCCTGTCTGGGTCGGACTGGGCAGATGAATAGATGGACGGCTGGAGAAAGCCGCGGCAGCTTCCCTGTGGTGTGAGGGTTGCCTGTGGTCTCCATGGTGGCGGGGCCAGGTCCGCGTGGCGGGAGAAGGCTTCAAGATTGTGTGCTTGGGAGGATCAATTGATGTGCCGGGCATTGCGGGGCCACCCTGTGTGTCTGTGGTGGTGGGATTCTCACATTGTTTACCCAGTGGCCCGTCCAGGTCTGGTGCCTTACCTCGATGTCCACTCTCTCTTGTCGCTCCCAGGCTCTTCCTTTGTGTTGGGTCCACACCCTCTCGATTTGCATGCGCGACCCCTCCCAGGATCACCACCAATGCTCACACCCCCTGGTTGGTGTCTGCCAACCATGCCTTCTGCCGGTGGGTGTTGCCACTCGGTCTTCCCCACCTCGGGGGTTTGGTGGCGTCCTCAAGCAGAGTGCATTTGGACAGGGCGTGGTGCCAGGGGAAGGGAAACGAGCCTCACGCAACTTCCCCTGCTGCATGCGCAGCCTGTTGAACAGTCATTACTATGATGCGGTAATGGACAATTTGCATATTACCTCTTTATTATATAAATTAGCGTAAGAATGGGTATATTAGAATAATAAAGCATAATAGGGAATCTAGGGACATACTCACAAATCAGTGGACACAGGATATATGCTAAAGATGGCAAGCAAATTGGTTGTGAAGTCTACATCTGTCCCCAAAATTCAGGTTACAACTTAATTTTAAGTTGTGATTTGATTCTGTAGTCCCTCCCCAAGGTTGCTTTATCAGATTGGATTCAGCATATTTTTATTCTGAAAATATCTTGTATTCTTTCTAATTTCAGAGTCATTACATCTTACAGGCATTCACATAACATGTTTTTGGATTTCTTAACATTTCATATATCTTTGTCTTGCTCTAAGTCAGGGATCAGCAAACATTGGCCTGCAAACCAAATGCAGTTCACCACCTATTTTTATAAATATGTTTAATTGAAACACAGCCATTTGTTTGTGTATGTTTCCACACTGTAGCCACATAGTTGACTGCAAATCCTAAAACACTTACTTTCTAGCCTTTTTTAGGGAAAGAGTTTACCAACTTCTAAGGCAGTTCTTGAATGACAGTAGAGTAGCAATTTGAATACTTTCCCAAGAAGCTAACTTTATACTTGCAAACAAATTTTGCCTTAATTTGTTATTAAGATTTACTAGTAATATAAAAAATATACCTCAAAACCTTAAAATTAAAAATTAAAATGATTTATATTCAGGGAGAATATAGTAGTTCAATAACAGGTCTATATGTTTCTTACTTTCATTTTCTTATAATAATCTACACTAATAAAAGAGAAAGATGCAAATTGACCATACCTTCACGACGCCCACCAGCCAATCAGGAGTGTGTATGCAAATTAACCCAACAAAGATGGTGGATTAATTTGCATACACAGGTGCCGAGTGGCTGGAGGCAGGGCTGGTGACACTTGCATCATCGCCATGGTGACAACACAGGCGTTCTGCACTGCCCCAGCCGCTCCGGGCCTCTGGGCAGCATGGGAAGGCAGAAAGGCAGCTCCAGGCTGGAGTGAAGGAGGAAAAGCGGCTCCGGCCTGAACAAAGGCGGTGCCAGCGGCCAGGGGAAGGGTGGCCCATTCTTGCACAAATCATCGTGCATCGGGCCTCTAGTGTCTATATAAGAGCTTTAACACTTTTATTATCAGTGTCTTTTTTAGCATACTCCTATATTGTATTTTAGTTATGGTTTTCCTTAGTCAATTTTTATTAAATAAGAAAAAAAATCATGATTTATATAGGATGTCAGTTTTGAGTGTGTTAGTCCTGCTACTTGCCCTACAATCGGCTTTTAGGATGGAGGGCAGTGAAATGGGAAATGCATCTATCCTTTTCACTGTGTCTCAGATGAATAGACCATTCACATGCCACATTTAAAGTCAAATTCCACACAAATTTGCAAAAAGTAAATGATCAAATAAACTTACTATGCTAAAACATTTTTTTCTTTTAGTTCCTTTAAATTCTGCATCAAATAATAGACTTCAGGCTTTGTTTCACATTAGAGTAGGAAATTCATTTACCTCCTACATTCAGTGTGATGTAGACGCAGGGTGGGACAAAAGTAGGTTTGCAGTTGTTTATGGAAAATCACACAATAATAAATAATAATAAAAGAATAGACTCAGTTTCACATACTCAGAACTGTAAACCTACTTTTGCCCCACTCTATATTTTCATGTTTTTGTACTGAGGAATTTTTTAGAGATAACCAGATTGATTATCCTATCTTATATTTCTTACATTTCTGATGAGATCTTTGTCATTTAATTTTTCATCAATGTCTAATCATTTTTATGTTTATTATTTTACTAAGAAATAGTCTTTGTCAGAAACTAAAGTCTTGAATTAGCTCTCGTTCATCTAAATTTTGAACCCTTTGCTTCTATTAATTCAAATAGTTATCAGCCCAGGCCGACATGGCTCAGTTGGTTGAGCATCATCCTGTGAATGGAAAGGTAACCAGTTTGATCCTGACTAGGGCACATACCGATATTTCTCTATCTCTCTAAAATCAAATTTTTAAAAAACCCAAGTAGTTATTAGAATTGTATATTACTTTATGAAGAGTTTTTATTGTAGTTTTCTTCTTGTATATACTTTTATATTTTCTTTCACTTACAGGAATGGCATCAGGATTATAGAAAATTCAGGGAAACAACCATGTATCTCATAATTGGACTAGAAAATTTTCAAAGAGAAAGGTAAGGAAAAGTGGACACAGCTGAAAAAAAGAGCTTAATTTTTGTAATTTGATTTGTCACAAATGCATTAATTTCCCAATAATTCTGTGCTTGAACATTAGAATATAGAATTGATCATTTATATCTGAACACATGAAATTATATAATAAGCATTAACACTGATTGGCAGTGTATCCTCTAGAGTTTTCTTTATAATATTTTACTTTTTAGGATGTTCCATTTTTATGAATTAATCTATAGAAAGATATGTTCTGATTGGACAAACTAACACAATGGAAATATCTTCAAATATCTTTAATATTTCAGTTTTACAAACATATATCTATGTATTTTTTCCCTGTAGCATGTTAGAAGGTAATTGTTTCATAGGCAGATATAACACTCAGTTTCCTCTCCTCCTTTTATTAACTAGTTTGAACTCCATAATTTCTAGATTTAATTAACAAAGTAATATTACTTGTATTAAATATAATACAAGGCTACACTTCCAGCCTTTTATGTTAGTGTTTTCTTTTGTTTCTTTGCATCTTGCTAGAGTTCCCATGTTTTTCTCATCTCCCTTGGGTATTCTCCCCACAACATGAAGTTTTTCTCAGTGACTAGAACTGTTCCTGTGGCATAAAAAAAACCTGACCAAATAGTCACTGAATGAACCAATGATATGGTTAAAAAACAAAGTAACATTCTTTCTTCAAACAAAAATGACATTACATTAAACAAGTAGTTTATTGACTTTCACATGTCTTGGTTTTGAATCTAAATGAAAGACATCAGGAAAATAAATCTCAAAGCAGACAAAAGCAACTACCTGAATTCATCAATTATGGCCTTTTCTCCCAGTTTTTGTTTGTTTTGTTTCATTTATTTGATTTTTTTTGTATTTCACTTTTAAGACATAACTGTCTCATGGTTTCATATGTGCCTGTTTTTATTTTTTGTTATTTTTATTTTATTTTATATGCCTTTTTTTTAAAGCAAGGCTCTCAGTCTTCCAATACATCAGATGATAGTTTTTATTATAATGTTCTGGATAATCAAAATGTGTTTATTTAAATTTTTTTATAATTATAATTGGATTTTATGTGAAATACTAATGCTATCTGTTTCTTACAATTTTTAAGTTATATAGATTCCTTGCTGTTCCTTATCTGTGCCTATCAGAATAACAAAGAACTCTTGTCCAAAGGCCCTTACAGAGGACATGATGAAGAGTTGATATCACATTATAGAAGAGAATGTTTACTTGTAAGTTAAATGTACATAATATTTGTTTACTTTATCTTTTTGTCTTACATTGAGCAAATTTTCCAGACTCATATATAACTGATTGACTTTATAAACTCTGATGGGGTAAGAATTTGATGATGTCTGTAATCTGGGGTTACTCTAACCCGTAAGAATGGGAGAATAGACTCAATTCTTTATCCCTTCTTTTCTATGGATCCTAAGTATTGCATGTGATAAACCATAAATGTTCTTGAAATGGGATCAGAATGATTACATTTTTATATTTAGATTTCTTCATCACTCTGCCATTCCCTTCTTGGTGGGAAAGGAGAGGCTGCATAGAATGTGAGTAATTAATACTTAAGCCTCTCTCCAAGCTAAAAGTAAATTGCACAAGAATGATACAAGTTTTATGTGTGTCTCTGAGAAATTTAACAACAAAGATGTGGACTCCTATCTCCCTCTGTCCCGTGGCTTTGCCGACTGGTTCAGTGTTTTGGGTTGCCAGGGGGCCCCCGAGTCTGTCTTCTGTACTGGGAGACTGCGCTCCAGAGCCTGCAGAGGAGCCCACCACTATGAAACAAAAACAAGAGCCTTCTTTAGAGTCAAAAGATAACTTCAAAGCAACACCACGGAATACTTGTTTAGGAGCCCTATGGCAAAAACTATAGTACATAACTCTAGATTTTCTATCTCGTCTTAAAAACTTAGCTAAAATATAAATATGTTATTTTCACACATGAAGGTTACACTTGTGCCCCAGCAGGAGTGGGGCATGCCCTCTGAGGTATGTGCAAGTGTGCTGATCTATGCAGAACAGCCCATTTAAGATGATATGGGAACCAGAATGCAGGCTGCAATTTAAAGAAGGGTTTTGGTGAAGCACAGAATGGGGAGAGCACTTACCTTGCCTTCCTGCTTTTCCTGCAGAGGCTTCCGCTTCTGTCATCCCTTGGCTTTAGGTCCCAACTTGAACCTGGGAAAACTGCAGAGTTTGGAGTTTTCTAAGCCATAGAAAAAGGAGTTAGATTCAATGAAGGGGGAAAGGCAGCTGCACTTTGTTTTCTACGATTTATTTCAAAGCATAATCACATGAAAAAAGTCATTTTCTATTGTGCAAAATGTTCTGAGGCTGTTCTTACCATAGACCAAGGTATCTGAGGTCTTCCTTAGTGGTATCATTAAGAATATCAGAAAGTGTATAACCTTCTTTAACAATCTGAAATAAAGATCAAATGCATAGGAGGTAAGCATCTTTGTAATAATAGCAAAGGATTATTTTTGGGGGGTATAAATTTACCTTTTCAATAGTATTTGCATCTGCTCCTTGCATTTGCAACCAGTCTACAAACTCTTGATATGTTCTCTGCCCACAAGACAATCTGGGTTCTCTGTAGTAATTAGAAGTTTGTTTTATTGTATATGGATGTGTAACAATAAAACTTCAACAGTGACTAGGAAATAAACTATTCCAGAATGTAAAAAAAACAAATAATATAATCTTTATATTTGAAATTCAGCTTAACACTATGGTTATTTGAAATCATATTTATCATGCTATAAACATAAGATTTCAAACATAAGCCCTTAAATATTATAGCTCTTATTTTGCCTGGATTTCTTATCTATCTCTTATGTCTATATTTCTTATCCTTAAGGATTTCTCAGTTCTACTAGATTAGGGATCAGCGTACTTGGCCTGTACTCCAGCCTGTCACTTGTTTTTCTCAAGTTTCATTTGAAACATAACCATACTCATTTATAATTCATACTAGGGGCCCGGTGCATGAAATTCATGCACTGGCATGGGGGGGGGGGGGGACTGTCCATCAGCCCAGCCTGCCCCCTCTCACATACTGGGAGCCCTCAGGGGATGTCCTACTGACGGCTTAGGCCCACTCCCAGCTCCCCTTGGGGAGCGGGCCTAAACCACAGTCTGGCCTCCCTTTGTGGGAGGCGACCAGGCTGATCAGGGGAAGGCACCAGCCCCATCACCCCACTGCTGCAGCCACTGCCAGTCACCGCAGCCACCAAGGTGTTTTCATCAACACGGACTCCAGTCCCTTCACCATGAAAAAATGACAACTTACTTTAGGCATTTTCAAGATGCATCTTTCATAGGATATGGCATTTCTTTCTTTCTTTTTTTCTTTCTTTCTTTCTTTCTTTCTTTCTTTTTTTCTTTCTTTTTTTTTTTTTTCCTCACCTGAGGATATGCTTCCATTGATTTTTAGAGAATGTGGAAGAGAAGGTAAAGACAGAAACATCAAAGTGAGAGGAACACTTTGATTGGTTGCCTCCTGCATGAGCCCTGACCTGGGCCCGGGCCAGGGAGGAGCCTGTAACCTACGTACCTTCCCTCGGTCAGAATTGAACCCACACCCTGCGGTCAGCAGGCCGAGGCATTACCCACTGAGCCAAACCGGCTAGGGCAGGATATGATATTTCTTAGCCCTCCAGCAGCCGACCTTCCTTTTTTTCTCCAGGAGTGAGGTGGAAGAACCCTAGATCACCTTTTTGGATTCTTATTACCCAAGTTACTAAGAATATTAGCAGTGGCATACAGGGAGCTTACCCAATGAGCGGTCAGAAAAGGTGTTTCCTCTGTAGTTCACACTGATCGCCGGCTCGGCCCTTGCCCAGGCCTAATACCTCTGGCCGAGGCTTTAGGCCTGGGCAGGGGCCCCCTCAGCTCCCATCGCAGGCTCGGCCCTGCCCAGGAGCCCCCTGGCTCAGGCCCTTCCTAGGAGGCTCAGGGCCCACACGGAGGCCTACCTCGGAGTGACCTGGGTGTCGATGATGTTCCCGGGACCCAGGCCACTGGGCGCCTACATATGCAAATTAACCACCATCTTTGTTGGGTTAATTTGCATACTTATCCGATTGGCCGGTGGGCGTAGCGGAAAGATGGTCAATTTGCATGTTTGTCTATTATTAGGTAAGATGTGGCTGCCTTTGTAAGACAATGGCATGGCTGAGTAATTACAGCAGAAACAATATGGCCCTCAAGGCCTAAAATATTTCCTGTCTTGTTCTTCACCAAAAAAGCTTACCAGTCCCTGTACCACATCGTAAGCTCCATGAGAGTTTTCTGTATTAATCACTTAAGTACTCCTGCATCTAGAACAGTTTCTGGCACATGCCATGAACTCAGTAAGAATTTTTTGAAGGGATAAATGAATTAATTGTTTACTTTCATGTTTTTGTATGAAAGAAGATAGCTTTTCTTGTTCAATTGACATTTATAGAGAAATGATAGTTTTTCAAAATTAATATGGAGTTTGAATCTCTTTATTTTCAAAATTATTTTGAGTGCTTATTAAATTTTAGTACTGGGGGAAGTTCATCCATGGAGAATAAAAATTGGCCCCTGTAGTGATGATCAATATAAGCTAAACACAAATTTTAAAAGCATAACAACAATATTTTCCCCACTTCTTTTTTCTTTTATTTCTGTTGTTAATACACATAGCTTTTTCTAAGAGATTTTTCATGCTAAAATAGCTTGAGATTATTTTTCCTGATTGCCATTTGTTCTAATACCGTTTGTGAACATACTCATTATATCATCTTCAGTATTTATACTTACGGGTATTTTATTACATTAAAAAAGAAAACAAACCTGTTCTTTTTCTCATTGCATTAAGAAATTAAATGAGCAAGCTGCAGAACTGTTTGAATCTGGAGAGGATCGAGAAGTAAACAATGGTCTGATTATTATGAATGAGTTTATTGTCCCATTTTTGCCCTTATTATTGGTGGATGAAATGGAAGAGAAAGATATACTTGCTGTGGAAGATATGAGAAATCGATGGTGCTCTTATCTTGGACAAGAAATGGAATGTAAGTTTAAATAATGCTAGTGGACATCTGAAGTTGGTTGGAATTAAAAGCAGTTAGAATTAATGTTATTTATTTGTATCATTTTTTATATTTTGTAATATTCACATTACTTTTTTCTTATTTACAAACTAAGCTATGAACTCATTGTCATTATCTTTTATCTCTTCCCTCAGGATGATAATTATTTTATATATTTTAAAATGAATCATCAACTGGCCACTCCAAGTTAATAAATCATCTTAAAGATAATTTCACTCGCTCTCTATCCTTAGTTACCTCTAATTGTTTTTATTTGCAGCAAACCTCCAAGAGAAGCTGACAGATTTTCTGCCAAAACTTCTCGATTGTTCTACGGAGATTAAAGGTTTCCAGGAGCCACCGAAGTTACCTTCATATTCCACACTTGAACTGTGCGAGAGATTTGCCCGAATCATGTTGTCCCTCAGTCGAACTCCTGCTGATGGAAGATAAACAGCGCACACTTTCCCTAAACACACTGTGTAAACTTTTTTTTCAGTTCTTAACCCTTGCCTTCTTGTCACAAGGTTTGCTTGTTGCTGCTATAGTTTTTAACATTTTTTTATTTTAATGACTTCAAAATACAAAATGACTATACAGACTTTAGCTGGACTGCAAACAATAAAGCTGGGAATCGCATGGCTCTCAGACTTTGTCTTAGCCAGATCTCATGTATAATTACAAACCTGATTGATCGTATCATTGAAAAACCATGTTTTTGCCACCTTTCTCTTACAGTATTACTGCTTTTATCTTTACCTACATTGTTCCATTGAGTCTGGATCCTTCCATGGCTACAGCCATTTAAGTGTTCAGCACTGTGTACGATACATAACATTTGGTAGCTTGTAAATGGAATTAAAGAATAAAGTTTTATTTATGGCTACCTATGTGTTTGTAAGCAGGTATATTGTATATTAGTGTGTTATTTTAGTTGTATAAATGAATTTTGGGGATTAAGAGTGGGTGATGAGTAATAAAGACTTTTTATTCTGCTCTAATGTTAGCACATTGGAAATTTACTAAATATTTGACAAATACATACATATATATATTTTTTTCTAAGTAATTAAACTTAATATGGCACCTAAACTTATTTTGAATTCAAATCAGGTTTTCACTAAAGTGAGTGACTAAGTCAACCACACTGAAACTTTTAACCTTTCTTAGATTAACCTTTTATTTTTTTATGTATTTACAAATAATATAGCAAGGTGATTATTTCAAAAGATATGAGAAAATGTACTTGAATAAGGGCTATTTAATAGGGAAACTTATAAGAAATATGTATATGTATACATAATACATACACATGCACACATACACACATATTCTTTGTAGAGGAAGACAATGTTTTGCATTACAGAATCATTCTATTTTTTTGTAAATTGTATATTACTTTAATTGAAAATATTCTCTGCTAATCAGTGCTGTGAAATGAAGTTGCTGTTGTTGACCTAGAATTTGAGTATCTGACCTGCTTTTATTTACCACCTTTTTAATAAGGAAGAAGCTGTGGAACATTTTATAGATGGAACTTCTGTTTAAGATTAATGAAGTAACATTGTGAATCAAAATCAATGCTTTAAAGGTAATCATGTTACCAACAACCTATTTTTGAATTTATAAAATTTCTTTATGAACAATACTTTGTTAGCTTAGTAAAATATATCATTATACTGTGCGTATGTTTGTTACGGCGCCGCCAAAAGTGCTCTGTGTAAGTGCCTCTCACAAAAGATCCTGGACAGAGGAGGAAAGGGGAATATGCAGTTGTTCTAGGATGCTCCTTACAAAGGCATCAGTATGCTGTTAAGACATTAATGACAAGGACCTGGTACTGTTTCTTTCATAAGTGTAGATTTTGCATATCGTAGCTATCCAAATGTGTTTTGATTCAGGTTTTATATTCTTCACTTCAGCAGAATCTGTGTTCTGCATTGGTTTTCAAGTTCTGTCAAGACCTCAGAAACTTTATATGAATTATCTAAGCTTTTCTAAATTATCTGCAGTATTTTATGATATTCTACCATAACGGTAAAGTGATCTGTGTTTAATGTGTCTAACTGACTACTGAGACACAACACACCCAAACGCCAGGTGGAAATTTCTCCTTATATAAGCCACATCCAGAGAATCGTATGTGGCTCTTGTGCCGAAGGTAAGTTTTATTATTATATTTACTTCATACTGAAAAGCCAGTTTATTTATTCCTAGTAATGAACCTAAAGTACTTATTTACAGAAGTGACCTTTTTCAAGAACCGGAGAAATTACTTGTTTTTATATCGGCTTTAATATTTAGGTCAGCAAAATTTCCTTACCTTATTTACTGGGTTAAATATAATTTATAGGCAGGAATATAAAATTTGGAACTTCATAAAACTGTTGTCTGTGGCAGATTTTATTTTTATTTAAATGACTCTCATTTTGATTACTATAGTCCTCCCTTCCCATCCCCCAAAAATTATGTTTTGCAGTAATACAACGCAGAATTCAAACAGATAGAACTTAAGACTTGTATGAATTTCTTATAAACACAGGGCATAGGGAGACTGTAGTCATGACGAACCTCTGAGGCCCCACTAATACTTTCTAGGTTCATTAAAATACTATAATGACCATACACTGAATCAGTTCTCAAATCGTGATCTCAGACCAGCAGCTTCAGCAACGTCTGGGAACATGCTAGAACTGGAAATTCGTGAGTCCCACACCAGATTCCTGATTCAGAAGATCCTCAAGTGACCTGTGTTTTAACAAGTCCTTCAGATGATTCTGATCTGCTCAAGTCTGAGATCCACTGCACCTCAAGTCGATGCTTTTTAATTTCCATTTACTTGGGATCCCCTGTGTGTTGGAAGATTCTCATATTTCCCTCACTTCTAATTTCAAGGACATGACTAAAAATGATTTTGCTTAGTTTTAGGTTTGAGACTAAGGTGGATTTTCTCCTTTATCTGATTCTCTACAAGGCCAGTGTCTTTGCTCTATAATTCAGAATTATTGACTCTGCCTCTAGATCCCCCTGTCCTTTTCCAAAAGTACAGTCACTCCGTTGCTTGGGGGAGGTTAATTTTAAAAAAAGGATTTACATCATTAAACAAACACCGTTTAATTTTATTCAACTTATATGTATTAGTTAGCTAGGCCTGCCAAAACAAAATACCATAGAATTGTGGCTTAAAAAACACATTTTCTCACAGTTCTGGAGTCTGGAAGTCCAAAATCAAGGTGTTGACAGGTTTAGTTTCTCCTGGGGCCACTTCATGGCTTGTAGACAGCCTTCTCTCTTTGTGCATGCACATATTTCTGGGGTCCCTCTTCTTATAAGGATACCAGTCATATTGGATTAGAGCCCCACCCTCATTTAATCTTAATTGCATATGGAGATACAGCCTTTAAAGAGGTAGTCACATTGTGGGTAAGGGCTTCAACACATGAATTTGGTAGGGGGTAGGGGAAACACAATTTAGTCCATAGCAATATGTGATGACCCAGTTCATAGCTCCTTTCCAAAAACAGAAATACCATTTTCAGCCTCAAGATTATAGTTCTGTTCTTACATCTACTTTTTTGTTTTCTAACTTACACTTCTCCAAAACCTATAGTAGATATAACACGTATGTTAGAAAGTGCTCACAAAGCATTCATCTAATCAGTCAGTGTTTTTATTGAACTAATCTTTGCTGAATGAATGCAGTAGTGCATGTTGACTGGTCCTTGTTCTTGTGTTTATTTCATCAGGTTTACTTAACATTGTGTCATGGTTCTGTTTCTGTTTTGCTAGTGTTTTTATCCTTACCTACTCCCCATCCCTTTTTTATTCCACCCCCACCCTGGAGGTACTACTGATAATCGTCGTGGCTACATATTTTCCATGTTTGCATAATGTTATACAGTGTATACACATAAGCAGTATTGGCTTTTTTGGGAGAGGAATGGAATGCCTTTACAAAAATGAGATGCCATCTACTTTCTCCTTCCCCCTCCAGTCCACCTTTTTCTAATTAGCTTTGATAGAGGTGACTTAACAGTAATCTATATATATAAAAGCCCAAGCAACCGTTAGGGACGACCGGTCACTATGACGCACACTGACCACTAGGGGACAGATGCTCAACACAGGAGCTGCCCCCTGGTGGTCAGTGCGCTCCCACAGCCAACCTCCCTTGGCTGGTGACCGGCCAACCTCCTGCGGCCTCTCCCCCCACACAAATTCATGCACTGGGCCTGAATACACCAATAATAATAAATACACCAATAAACGTTAAGTGAGGCATGAGTGACAGACTATCTACCCAATTGAATACAAACATACACACACACCAGAATTTAAAAAATCCTTTTTCATTCCATACACAATTCTTCTCAATGACTATTTCAAACTTTCACTACTGTCCTCAGCTCCTATCCAATGTCAGTTCCAGTAAGAATGGGGTAATGTTTCCTTTGCTTAATAAGACAATTGGGGACATTGGATAGGATCTTCCCCTTCAAATTTCTCCTCTAAACCTGTAAGTTTACAGGTAATGATTAGATAACCAGAATGTAATGGGGGATGGACATTGAAAATCCAGTGTTATGAGAAAAATATAAATAAAATCAAATGTATAAAATGAATTTATAAATTTAAATTACATCCATTATTTTTGGACGTAATTGTTTTTCTACAAAATTAATTTTTTTAAAAGTTCTCTTTTTTTGCCATGTACTAGCCCCGTGGTCGGCAAACTGCGGCTCGCGAGCCACATGCGGCTCTTTGGCCCCTTGAGTGTGCCTCTTTCTAAGCCTCAAACCTAAAACTAAACAAAATCATTTTTAGTCACTAATTAAGTTAGTAACAATGTACCTACCTATATAATTTAAGTTCAAAAAATTTGGCTTTCAAAAGAAATTTCAATCGTTATACTGTTGATATTTGGCTCTGTTGACTAATGAGTTTGCTGACCACTGTACCAGTCCAAGCATGTCAAACTCATGGCCCATGGGCCATATTTTTGCAGACCAGCCAATATAATGATGTGTAAGAAATGTTTTAATAAAAATTTCATAACTTGATTTCTACAATATCGTTATACATAATTATTAATAATGAACTACAATGTTCCCTAATGACTGAATACTATAATCGTGTTGCATTCATTTCCTTTATGCTCCTTATGCGCACCATTTCTCTCTAATACTAGCAGCGAATATTTTAGCAGCCAATTGCCACGTCATTAGTCTTGGACTGACTTGTTTGGTGTGCACAACAGGAAATATTTCGCTTTGGAGAACAAGAAAAATAGTTTTATTTGTTTTATGCTTATTAATTTGTGCTGTTATTCAGTGTCTAGTAAGTTAATGGTCAAGAAAAAATACTAATTTTTATTAAAATGTTCTAATATCTTATGTAATGATTATTCATTTATTTCAGCCCTTTGTATTCAGCATGTCTCTATCGAAATAAGCCTATATTTCTATGAAAATTGAAGCTTTTTGTTTTTTTGTGGCCCACATAAACTTAAACCTTGTTTATTTGGCCCATGTTAGCCTTTGAGTTTGACATGCTTATACTAGTCCATGGTCTGTACATCAGTTTGTCCTTTAGCAGATGGCCTTCATTCTTCATTAATCTAGTGCTAGACTAGTATTTCTTACCCCTGCTGTGTATCAGAAGCATGTGGGTTCCTAAAATACTTGAAAGTGAGGACATTTGGTAAATGCTTCTCCAACCTCAATTCTAAGAATCATCTGTGGCTCTACCCTGAGAGACTAATTAAACCTAGCTAAAGCATTCAGGTGAAGAAGTTTGTTGTTCACATTATTGTACGTCACAGGAAAAGCAGAAGGTTAAGTGTACTGCTTGGCCACCTCAATCATAGGGCCAACTTGCTTTGGTATGTGCTCCAGCCGAAGCGGCACGCCAACGTTTTCAGTCTGTAGCTCACTGGACTTCTCTCTTTTGAGTGGCTTCAGAGTGTAGGCTCTAGACCAGATGCCTAGGTCCAGATCCTGGGTCAGGGAGCTGCGGGTTGACCTTAAGTGAGCTCAACTTTTATGTACCTTAGTTTCTCCATCTGTAAAATGGAATTACACTATAACCCACCTTATAGGATTCTGAAAAGATTAAATGGGGTTCTATATATAAAACACTTTAATAGTCTCTGCCACATAGTGTTCAATAATTGTCAGCCCTTTTTACAGTTTGTCACTTGGTTACTCTTGCTCCTGATTTTTAGAACCTTTACCTTCCTGAGACAGGTTCTTTGAGCTACTCTTATTCCTGTCTGCATTCCTTATCATTTTCTTTTCTCTGTTCCCTAAATATCACAATTGTCAAGGCCCCTTGTAACTCTTCACCTTTCCTAGGTGGTCATGTCTACTACCTTGTCTTCCTGCGCTGCCTACACGCTGACTCACAGATCCATGTTTCTAAGCAAACCTTCCCTGTGAGTTAATTTCCAGTTGTTCGTCTAGACTTGGATGTTTCACAAGCATTTTAAACCTTGCAATCCAAAACAATCCCTCACTTCTTCCCAAGCCTGATTCTCTTATATTCCCTTGGAAATTATATAATAATCTAGAAATGGGAAATTATTTTCAATTCTACTTTTATTTCCCATGGATTGCCAAGTTGTGAACAGGTCAAATTCTTTAATAGTTGCTCATGCATCCCTTTTTTTTGTTGATCTCTTAATTTTGACAAGGGGCCAAATCTATATTTAATATTGTCCCTACAATCTGTCTTCCACATTATTGGCAGAATAATCTTTCAAAGAGTTTTTGCATGTTTGTCTTCCATTGCTGGACTGGGCTTCTTTAGAGGAAGATAATGTCTCTGGGTTTTGCATCCCCAGTAACTTTGAAGATATCTGGCAACTTCATAGAGGTGGAGTCTTGCAGGTTCTCTAGCCCTACAGTCACCTTAGATCTCCGTTGTCCAATACTTTAGCCACCAGCCACATGTAGCTATTTAATTTAAACCAAATAAAATTACTTAGGCATACTAGCCATATTTCATATGCTCAATAGCGGCATGTGACTGTTGTCTATCACATTGTACAATGTATTGGACATTTCCATTATTACAGAAAGTTCTGTTGTACAAAGCTGTCCAGACCCTTACTGACATGGACATTTTCTTCTATTAATACCCCTGGAACATTCACACACCATCCAAAGTGCTAACCTGAGCAGTTGGCCTTTAACATTTGTCCTTTTATCTTGATCCTGCCATTAACCACTTCACCACATCAGATAGCACTTGGAGCTTAGAGCTCCAAGTCCCCATGCAGTTGCTCAGTCTGAGGAGGTTCACCACCTCTCCACTCTTGCTACTTCTGAGGGATGCAATGAAGATAGTACTAGAAGATCTTAAAGTGGTTAAAGACTGTAATCAACTGACACTATTAGGTCAACACTGGTAGAATTGCCAAGCAAAGACTAGGAAGTAAAACTTGTTTTTCTGCCTTCCAACTGTCCTCTGGTACAACTTACTGGCAGAATCTAAGTGGATGCAGCAAATGGGTCAGGAAAATGCAGTTTGCAATCCCAGCACCAGCATTACAGAGCTGAGGATACAAGCGTGGAGCTGAATTGGAACTGAGACAATAGGTAAAGAACTAACACACTAGTTCCTTTCAGAGATTCCTTTGTATCCAAAAGTTAATCCCTAAAACACTGTTCAGGAATTTATTTGTAAACTATCTCTGGGACCTCAAGACTAAATGCACTAGTTCTAATTGAAATCTTGTTGCTATGTTCTATCAAATGAGATCTTTTAATGATGGCTATTTAATGCTTTATTTTTAAAATCAGCAGTGGAGGGTTGTCTTATAAAATGAATTCATACCCATCCACACATTTTTTTGCATGCATACCGCATGCCACATAATCTGCCAGGTAGTACATATATAAAACAAAGCTTATGTAATAAGACAAAAGTAATAATCTGCCCAAATGCATCTACCCAGAACTACACACTTAACATTTTTGTATTGATGCCTCGGGACATCTTTCTATACTTGTGCACATATACATACACAGGCAACTATATATAAGCGGTTTTCATAAGCATAGAAAATATAATAAATGTGGACATATTTTAAGAAAGTATGTATGGATCTACCTGTCTTACTCTCCTGTAGTATTTGATTCTAAGGAAAATGTACTATAATTTATATAATGTAGGCTGCTACTTATGTCTGTGTATATTATTTCTATACCTTTTGTCTTTCTGCTTAATTTCTAGATGTATAATTTCTGAGCTACTGAGTATACAAATTAAAAATGTTGAACTGAATTGTCAAACTGTTCTTCACCAAAGCTACTCCAGTTTACATTGCTACCACTAGTGTGTGAGAGTGTTTATTCACAAGTTCAACGACATACAATGTTATCAGTCATTAAGATTTTTCAGTAACAGCCAAAAGCTTATTGTATTATTTTTATTTTTTGTGAGAGTGAAATACTTCAATGTTAATGGCTGTTTGTATTTATTGTGTAGCTACTTTCTTATGCCCTTTGCACTTTTTCTTGTGGATGTTCATATCTATAAATTTGCAGTAATTCATGTTAGAAATCATTAATCTTTTATTACACACATTGCACTTTTTTGTCACTTACTTTATTTTAATATTGTTTCATGACTTTTTGTTTTTATTCAGATCTGATGACCTGCTTTATCATTTCTGCCTTTGATATCATGTTCGGAAGAGTTTTCCCTGTCCAGTATTATAAAAATACCTGTGTTTTCTTCTAATATGTTTATGATTGTTTTTTATGTCAGTCTTTAATGCAGTTGAAAATTATATTAAGGTGTGAGGTAAGGATTCACAAATTTCTGTCAAGATTATCTAGTTGTCTAATACATTTATAAAATAATTCTTTTCCCTTACTGATCTAAAATGTAATCTTCATTAGATAATAAATTTTTACATTTGATATTTATAAACACTTTTCAGTTCCATTTGTTTTTGTCTATTCACTACCATTACTATTAAATACTATTGTTTTAACATTGATTTAAAATATTTTATATGTAACATACATGTTTTCCTATCTAATAAGTCTTACCCCTAACACACATACCCTTAATACTCATTTTTGCCAGAATCTCTGTACTCTTACAAAAAAAAATCTAGAATTACTCATGTCCTTTCAAATAAAAATCCTACTGCCATTTTGATTGCAATTACATTGTCTTGTACAGATTGGTATACAGAGAATTATGGCATCCTACACTATTGAATCGTCCTATCTAAAAAGAATGTTGCTTGACTTTTTACTATATTTTTATGTCCCTCAGTAGAGCTTTAAAATTATTTTCATTTGTCTTTAATTTTAGGTATTTTAATGTATTTTAATGTTTTGTGGTGTTTATGAATGAGCTTTTTTTCAACTTTGAAAAAATGTTCCTATTTGAATATTATTTGATACAGAAGAGTAGCTATCAAACTTTTTGGCCTCAGAACCACTTCACACTCAAAAACTATTGGGAACCTATATGAGCTTTTGTTTAGGCCAGTTACATCTATTGCTGTTTGCCATATTAGAAATTGAAACTGTAAAAGATAATTTTAAAATGATAAAATATATTAAAAAACGAATACATTTTAAGTGGAAAATACCAAAAGTTTCTGCCTAATCTTTATTTTGGAAGTTAGTATTTTTAAACCAGAGGCCTAAGGCTTGAAAAGAAATGAAGTACTAGTTATAATTGTCCCCAACCCTTTCAGTAATTACGAAAATTTTGCTGTCCTCACACTTTCAGAGAACACGTAACTTAAAATTTGGACTAGCAATCACTAAAAAAAAAAAAATTGATTACTTAAGTAATACATTAGAATCATTTTTCCAAAGAAGTAATTTCTTAGAAAAATAAAAACCAAATTTAACAGTTTAGAACTTCAGTATGTCTTCAATAGTCCTGGAAATTGATTGAGTAAAAAAAGAAAACAAAAAATGAGAGAGAACTCATGGACACAGACAACAGTGTGGTGACTGCGGGGATAGGGAGGTTGGTAGAGTGGAAGAGGGTATGGGGGAGGGGGTGGTAAATAGTGATGGAAAAAATAAAGATACCATACGAAAGGAGGGACGGAAGGAACGAAGGAAGGGAGGGAGGGAGAAAAGAGAGAGAAGAAAGAAAGAAAAAGAGAAAAGGGAGGGAGGGAGGGGGAGAGAGAGAGAAGGAAGAAAGAAAGAAAAAAGAAAGAAAGAAAGAAGAAAGAAAGAAAGAAAGAAAGAAAGAAAGAAAGAAAGAAGAAAGAAAGAGAGAAAGAGAAAGAGAAAGAAGAAAGAGAAAGAAAGAAAGAAGAAAGAAAGAAAGAAAGAAAGAAAGAAAGAAAGAAAGAGAGAAAGAAAGAAAGAAAGAAAGAAAGAAAGAAAGAAAGAAAGAAAGAAAGAAAGAAAGAAAGAAAGAGGAAAGAAAGAGAAAAGAAAAAGAAAAGTAAATTTCCCTTTTCCCTTTGGGGGTTGCACTTGCCATGCCCCATGTTTGAAAATTTTTCCAGAAAGGTTACCTGGTATGCTTCACTGCTCTCAAGTATTTCAACTTTGTAGTATCCATTGTCCAAACACTGAAAAGAGTATCTTCATATATTTTTATCCAGATTCGTGGGCAGTGATGGCAGGAAAGTTATTCTGATACCAGCTGTTCCATGTTGGCTAAATCAGAAATGTATATAAATCTTTTAGACAATAGCATAGGGGAGTACCTTTAAGATCTTAGAATAAAAGTGGGTTTCTTGCCTGGCTGGCGTGGCTCAGTGGCTGAGTATCCACCTATGAACCAGGAGATCACGGTTCGATTCCCGGTCAGGGCACATGTCTGGGTTGCGGGCTGCATCCCCAGTGTGGGGTGTGTAGGAGGCAGCCTATCACTGATTCTCTCTCATCATTGATTTTTCTATCTCTCCCTCTCCCTTTCTCTCTGAAGTCAATAAAAATATATTTTTAAAAAATTGATTTCTTAACACAGAAAAAGAACTCAACATGAAGGAAATTTTTGATCAATGTAAACACATTAAGCATTCTATCCAGCAGAAGATTCCCGGAGGAGTAAGAAGACAAGGCAATGTGGTGGGAGAAGATATTTGCAGTGAGCAAGAGGACAGGCAATAATAAAACTAAAGAAAGAATGTGCTTAGGTGAGATGACAAACTCTAAAATGTTCCCAGATCCTTTTTTCATTTTTTTTAAAAGCAACAAGGAGAGCTAAAGAAAGCTGTAGACAGCATTTTCAGCAAATTAAGTGACAAGGCATTCTCATAGAGCCAAAAAATGTAAGTGAATGGAACCAAATTACAGTCAAACGATATTTTGGTAAGACTTTGCCAAGATTAGCAGATGTGAGGAGGTTGCAGAGCAAAGAAAAGGGAAGTTCTGTGTGTCCTAAGACCCCCAGGAAACAGAAATTACTGATAAATTTTGATAAAGTAAGACCCCAATCTGATTGGAATTTCCTTTAAGTAGTTCTGAGAAGTTTCAATTTGTGATTATGAGCACAAAAGAAAATGAACACTACAGTGTTGCAAAAAATCAGAGGGTGTTGAGGCAGCCTAACCCTCAAGGAAATTAAATTCACCCAAATAAAACTATTTCAGAAGGCCAGAGACTATTCTGGTGGTTGGGGGGGAGCGGGGGGGGGGGGGGCGCGTGGGGGAAGCTGCTGGAAAGAGAATTCAGTTAAGATGAACCTAGCCCAAAATGCTTTAATCATCTGACCTACATATATTTCTATTCTTACTGGTGTACGTACCATAATGGCATTCCTGCATCCCCAGGAATTTTATCAGTTTAGATACAGTGTCCAAATATCTGAAATGCCGGATTGTATTGTTTTCCCCAATGCACAGTCATCTTGGCAACTGGACACAGGTTCCTTTGGGGAAGGTTATGACTTAGAATATGGATACTTCTACAACATTGGGAACTTTCTCAAAGGGAGTAGGTCTTCGTTTGAGTGGTTTTGGAGCTGCAAACTGACTCGAGTCTTGGAATTGGTTGAGGTGATTCAATTCAAATTTCTATTCATCAGATTTACAATCTTCCATTATAAAAGTGGACTTGAACAGGGGCTTTACAAGAAATATATCAAAATGACTGATAAACATGAAAAAGTGCTCAACCTCATTAGTAATCAGGAAAATGCAATTAAAACCACAGTGAGATACCAGCAAATGCCAACAAGATTGGCAAAAAAATTAACATTTGGCACTATCAAATGGTGGTGAGGTGTGTATGTACCAATAGAAACACACAGATGGTACTGTGGGTATGTACATTAGTGCAACCACTTTGAAAAAGCGTTTGGCATTATTTTAAAACATCTGAAGTTATGAGTACATTACTCAGTAATTCCTTAGTAGTTTTCCTAATATGTGGGTGCATGTTTATCAGTTTGCACATACATAACTATTCTTAGAAGCATTGTTCACACTAGCAAACACTAGAAGCAACCCGAATAGCCAACAAAAGTAAACCTTCATTGGGGGATATTCATATAATGGAACACTGCACAGCTATAAAAGGAGCAAGTGACAGCTGCATGTGTTATAAAGATAATACTGAGTGAAAGAAGCAAGATAAAAGTATATAATATAATTCCATTTATTCACTGTTCAAAAAACTAGGTAAAATTAAAATATAGGAATGTATTCATGAATGTTAACAACAGCAGCAAAAGGCAAAAAAAGGATTGCACATAAATCCAGGTAATGGTTACTTCTAGGAGGAAGGAAAGATGTGTAATTGGGAAGGGACATCTGCATGGCCCTTGATGTGCTTCCAATTTCATATGATTTGATATGTGTTCCTTTTCTGTATGTATATGTTTGCAGTTGGAGTTGTAAGTTTGGAGCATGAAGCAGAGTTGTTCCCCTAGAGACATAAATTTAAGAATCATCATCTCTGAGATGCAGTCGAGGTCAAGGGAATTCCTGAGATCTGATAAGTTTATGTAAAGAGAGGAGTGGAGGCCCCAGGAATGAATTCTCAAGAGAATTAAAAGGTGCTCTATTTGAGGAGAAATCAGCAAAGGAAATAGAGAAGTATATCAGATGAAGTAGGAAAGAGTCTTTTCATACAAGACACGGTAATTTTTCTAAAAGCAGGAAGTGGTCATCTATGACAAATGCTTCTGAGTAAAATGAGGACAAAGAGTGGGTTATCTTGACAAGGGTAGTTTCAGTGGAGTGGTGGAGACAGAGGTATGTTGGAATGGCATAGATTTCCAATACCTGGCTGACCTCATTAACAAGAGAATTGCAATATTAGATAAAATATTAAAACAGATTTAATGCACCCCTTAGTCTGAGAAGAAACTCAGAAATAGCCTCAGAGGCCAAGGATGAAGAAAGCCTGAATCCATTGTTATCAACTGTGCCAAGAGGGAGAATGAATTACTTTTACAATCTCCCCTTTAAAAACTGTACAAAATTGCTGACATATGAAGGGATGCAGTAAAAAAATGCCAGAAAAAAAAGTGGAGATGACTGAATTTAATTATATTTGTTGGCATTTGTCTTATTTTCATGACTTTGCTATTTCTTTTCCTATTCTAATATTAATTTTCTACATAATTTCACTTTTTTAAATTTAAAAGCTTCTCCTCTCACTGTACCTGGATCTTTAGGCCCATGAAGTGTAATTCAGGCCAGTCATCAGGTAGAGGAGCATTAAACCTAGGACCCAGGCAAAAAGCAAATACATCAGGAAAAAGGGAGAAAACCTTCTACCCAGGAAAGACAGTAAAAAACATGTCTACTTCATCTTTTCTGGTAGAGAGAATTGGTAGAGAGGAAAAATGTGAGCACCGAGGCC